CCGGGGTCAAAGAGAGAGAGCACAGCGGGCAGGGCACTTGCCTTACGCACGGCCCACCCAGGTTCGATTCCTGCATCTCATATGGGCCCTGGAGCCCCGGCAGGAGGGATCCTGAGCTCAGAGCCAGGAGTAAGCCCTGAGCATCGTTCAGTGAGTCCCCAAAGCCAAAAAAGCACAAACTTCCAAAAGGAGAGGAGAGGTTAGACAGAGCTGGGACTAGAGCCCAGGCCCCTAGTCCCAGCCGCAGCGCTTCTCAGCCTCTCCAGGTGACACCGGAGAGTCCCCATTTGACCCTCCCTCATTTGACAAACCTCGCGGCACGCGTCCGCCAGATTCCAGAGTTGCCGAGCAGGGCAGAGCAGCTGGTGCTGGACACCGGCCACCAGGAGGCGCTGCCGCGACACCGGGGGCTGGGAAGCAGGTGCCTGGAGGGGCAGAGCCAGGCTCAGTTCCCCCTGGGTGGGGTCCCAAGGCCCCGAGGCTCAGGAAGTCCCTCCCTTGTCTCATTTAGTTCCCAGGATCTCTGTTCCTGTCCCTGGGGCGTCCCTGTCTTGCCCAGGGCAGCCCCTCCAGCGCCGGGTCACGCCTCCCGACTCCACCCCCACTCGCCTCACACACAGCGGTCAGCACCCCCAGCGTGGGGCAGCCGCGCCCCGGAGAGGGAAGGGCTCACAGGCTTTTTCCGGCCGCAGCCCCCAACACTGGACTCGGTTCTCTGGACGCCGGGTTGGAGCCCTGGGACGGGACTAGAGAGAAACCAGAACCAGGCCCAGGAAAGTGAGGCAGTGAGTGGCTGGGTGGGGCCGGAGCCGTAGGACCGCGGGGAAGGAGCTGGCCCGGGACCCTGGACGGGACTCACCTGGGCTCAGCACCCCATAGGGTCCCCCAGCCCAGCCAGGAATGATCCCTGAGCTCAGAGCCGGGGGCAAGCCCTGAGCACTGTGGGATACGGCCCAGCGACCAAGGAGGAAAAGAAAAGGTGGGAAGGGTCTTTCTTTCCTGTGGGACTTCTCAGAATCCGTCACGCAGACGAATATTTGTGGGTGGGGGCTGGGGGAGAAGGCGGGGGCGGCTGTTTCTGAGTCTTTTGACTCAAAGATCCGTTTTCCACCGTGCGGTCAGCCGGCTAGGCCTTGTCAGGAAGCATTCGCCTTCCAGGGCACCTCCCAGGGAGCTGGTCCTGGCCCAGGGTCTCCTCCTGTGGGGGTTTCCCCGACTTGGGCTCTGTGCTGGGGGCCGCCAGCCTGGGTTCCAAACAGCGGCGGCTCACGCACTGCCGATGGTTTGCCCGGGGCTCCCTGAGAGACCCTGTGAGGGTTGCAGTGGGGCTGTTGGACCCTCAGACCAACAAGACCCCACAACTAGAAGGGAAGGGGCTCCTCCACCCCGTCTGTGTGCACAAGTGTGTGCGTGTGTGTGTTTGCATGTGTGTGGTCCTGTTTGTATGCGTGCGTATGCATGTGTGTGAATGTGTGCGTACGTGTGTGCATGCATGTGTGTATACATGTGTGTATGCATGTGTGCATGTGTGTGTGTGTGTGTGTGTGTGTGTGTGGTCCTGCAGGTGACCCCTAGGGAGCCCCTGTTTTCCTGCTGAGCCAAACGCCGTGGGGCTAACAGGGCTAATTAGCCTGATCATGTGACCCTCAAACCCCGGGGCCACCTTTCACCTCCTGCCCTGCTCTGGGCAGGCTTGGAGCGTGTGCCGTTTCAGGTGTGGCAGCTCCTTGGGGTGGGGCCATCGTACAGTGCCCCCGCTAGGGGTGATCCCTGAGTGCAGAGCCAGGAGAACCCCTGAGCATCTCCAGGTGTGTCCCCCAAGTCAGACCCAAACAAAACAGTCGTGGCAGTACCGGAGCAATCGTACAGCAGGGAGGGCGCTGGCCTTGCATGTGACCAGCCCAGGTTCGATCCCTGGCATCCCCGACCCCAAGCACCGCTAGGAGAAACCCCCGAGCACAGAGCCGGGAGTAGCCCTTAAGCCCTGCTGGCCACAAGAACAAACACCAGAGAGCAAGCCCCAGGCCTGGGGTGTGGGAGGGTCCCTCAGAGCCCAGCCCCGGGCCTCGAGTTTTATACCCACAGCGCGTCCTGGGGTGCGCCAAGAGTGATTCCTGAGCACAGAGCCAGGAGTAAGCCTCAACCACGGCCTTCTCCCGTTTGCCACTGCCACCTGGCACGGAGGCTGGCAGCCAGGGTGGGATCCCGGACTGGACATCGCTGGGGGCCGGCAGGGGTGTCCCCTGGGCAGGGAGCGACTTCAGCACGCAGCCCCTTGCAGCAGGCCTGTGTGGCGTGGGGCGGGATGTCGCCCTCTCTGGGCGTTCCTAGCTGGGGGACGTGCCGGCATGGTGCTGTGGGGCTGAGGCCTCCGGGTGGGGAGCCTAGGGGTCAGCGGCCTTCAGAAACTGCGGGTTCTTGTGATGATGCCCAGGATCCAGCTGTCTTCGGCCGTCCCCATTGTGGGGGTCAGAGGGATTGTTTGGAAAGGGGGGGCGTGGTTTGAAATTAGCAGCACGGACCTTGGGAGCACCTGGGAAGAGCTGCCGGGGGCATGTCTGGGGACAGTCAGGTGTGCTGGCCTTGTCCACTAAAGCAGCTGGGTCTGCTGGGCAGCCCCGGGGATTGGCGGGGGGCTGGGGGGTGGGGGCGGAGCTGTGTGTTCCCGGGTGGGGTCGAAGCCGGAGAATCACGGGGTGTCCAGGGATGGCCTGACCCGGCCTGGGGCTCCCTGCCGGAACCGGGCTCCGTCTTAATCCCCCCAGTGGCTGCTCCTTCCTTCCCGTGGCCTTATCTGTGGTGGTTCTCACGTGCCCGTGGGGGTGCCGTGGGCCCCCAGAGGCCTGGGCAGGGACCCACACGTGTGGCACGCTTGGGGTCCCCGATTCCACACTCCTGGGCCTGAGGCATGCCCGTCTGGTTTGGCTGGCTGGGTACTGCCAGGAGGGGTGCCCAGGACCCACCCCGAGTTATGCCCGGGAGGCAAAATCATATACAATAAATCAAAGCACTGTCCCTCCGCTACCCGCCAAGTGGGGCACTCCCAGGCCCTGCCACCCACTGTCACCGCCCTGGACATCTGCCCAAGGCCCCTCTTCCTTCCCCCTGGGACTGACCCCGAGGCCCAGTGCCCAACAGCCTCCTGGGACCTGTGAGAAGCCGGGGTGTGCGTTTAGGAGGGATGGGGTTTCCATGCAGGGGACCTCATCCAGACCCCAGCACCCCTGCCACGGCCTTCGGGGTGTGGAGTGTGAGGTCAGCATCCGACCAGGGACTTCCACAGTTCCCCTAGGCCTGGGGAGAAGAGCCAGGGCGAGGGGGAGGCCGACCCAGGAACCAAACCCGAGATGAGCCCATGGCCTCCTGCCAGTTTCCCCAGTGTGCTGTGCGACCGGGGTGGGTTGGTGTCCCTCTCTGGGCCTCTGCCCCCCCCACCCCCCGACCTCGCATGGGGGTGGAGCAGGGCTCGGAGAAGCAGGAACGCACTGAGGGCGGGGTCAGTGCTGGACAGGGACCCCCAGAGGCTCCTGCAGGCCCGGAGGCATGGGGCGGGTGAGGGTGGGCCGGGGAGAGGGGTCCTGCCCAGACCCTCCGTCTTGGCGCTCTCCCTCGTGGTGCCAGGACCGTGCGGGGCTCAGCTGGAGACCGAGCGTGCCAGGGTGTGCCAGGGATCGGGCACCAGCTGGGCCGGCTCCAACCCCTCGGGGAAAGAGCCGGAAGGACAAGCTCCCGGTCACTGGGCCACGGGAGCCGGGCTGGGAGCAGGTGACCGGCCCGACCACCCCCGGGGGTGGGGGACCCTCGACTCAAGCCAGAGCAACGACCAGCGCCACGAAGCACCCCACAGCGGAGACACCACCTGCGTTTTCCTCGTTTCTTTCTCTTTTCGCATTTAAAACAATATAGTGCCGACCAGCACTTCTCACAGTAGAATATAATGGTCAATTTTAGTATAAAAAAAAAACATTCTCAGAGATTTGTAAATGCACTTAGTGCTGGGCCAGGCCTTGGAGAGAGATACAGTACCGCTTTCGGGGTGCGGGGGAGGGGGCAGGCCTGGGGGCGTCGGCCTGGGGAGGACCCTCCCGGCCCCCCTCCTGGACGCGCGGACAGGATCGCAGGGAAGGGGAGGGTCGCGTCCCCCTGGGCTCCTGGGAGACTCCCCAGAAGGGGACAGGGAGGGTCCCTCTGACCGGGGTCGAAGGTGGCAGGCCTGGGGTCACCCCTGCGATGCCCTTGTGCCAAGGGGAGGACGGCGCCCCTTCCTTAGGACTCGGAAACCTGCCGTGATGCGAGCAGAGCCTGGGGTGCGCGCGGCGTCTCCCCAGCCACCCGTGGGGCAGCCCTGTGGCATAGACGGGCGTGGGAGTGTGTATGTGTGTGTGTGTGGGGGGGTGGGGGCGTCGTCCAGGGTTTGGAGCGGGGTGTGATTCTGTGTCCTGAAGGAAGGGAGCAGGGGGATGGGCGACTTGAGGCGGAGGAGCAGGGTGGAACCACCTTCCCCTGGACTGGCCGCAGGGGTGCGGGGAGCCCGGCCACTTCCTGTGGGGCCCTCTGCTCCTCCCCGAGGGGCCAGGGGGTGGTGGTGGGGGTCACTCTCTGACCCCCGGGGGCTGCCCTGTTCCCCTGAGCCCCAGACCCGTCACATGCACGCCAGGGCGCGGGACCCTCTCGGGGAGCACCAGGAAAGCGGCTTCTCCCTGTCCGCCCGGACCGAGGGAGGCGTGGCGGTCAGGAGCCCTCACCGCATCCAGGAACGCCCCAGAGGGATGTGGGGGCGGGATGGTGGTGGTCAGGGGCTAGTGGGCGCGGCCACCCTGCCGTTCCGAGCCAGGCGGGCGGCAGGAGACCTGGCTTCCCTGTGGGCGTCGCTGGGTGCTGGGTGCTGGATGCCGGGTGCCGGCAGGGCTGGGCGAGCCCTCCTGCCCCCACCCCCGACCCCGTCCCGTGGCCTGCCTCCTCCCCGCCACCAGCGCCCGTTTGTCCGTCCGTCCGCGTGCACCGGCGGCCTTATCTGTAGACGGGCAGGCGGATGTGGGCGTGCTGGTGGTCAAGCAGGCGGGGCACGGCCACCGTCTCGTAGCCCTTGCCCAGCATCTGCTCCTTGATGCAGGGCGGCCGGATGTCGTTGATGAGATACTCGAGCGACTGCAGGCTGCTGCTCAGTGCCGACGTGTTGCACACACTCTTGCTGGGCAGCCCGGCCAGGGCATCGGCGGGGGGCCCCGCCAGCTCTCGGGCCGCCCCCAGCTCGCCCCCGGCCACGGCGGCCGCCGCCGGGTGGTAGCAGTCACTGGTGGGGGTCACCAGCGCGCTGTTCCAGGGGGTGGCGAAGTACTGGCCCACCGCGAAGCCGGCGGGCAGCCCCACGCCGCAGGGGAGCGGCGACCCCGCCGCCGGCCGCTCGTACCCCCGGCCCCCGCCGCCGGCCTCGGGGGACTTGGTGGCCCCCGCGGCCCCACCGCCGTAGGCCCGCAGCGGCTGGGGGGGGCGGCGGCGGCGGCTTCTGCGGCCACAGCAGGTAGTCCAGGCCCCCGTCCGCGTAGCCGGCGGGCTTGGCCGCAGCCAACGTCAAGGCCGGCGCGCTGGCCTGGCCCAGCTCCGGGCCCTTGCGGCAGTCGGCGAGGCCGGTCCCCGCCGCGTAGGCCATGCTGGGGAAGCTGGGCACCGGGCCGTGCTTGGCCGGGCTGGGGTGGGGCACGGCCACGCCCTGGCAGGCGGCGGCCCCCGGGGCCTGGCACTGCTGGTTGAGCTGGTACAGGATGCTGTGGATGGACGGCAGGTTGGAGGGCGGCAGGGGCAGGCCGCGGCCGGCCAGGGGGATGACGGCGGCGGCGGTGGCCGTGGCCGCCGTGGGCAGGCCGGGCGGTGGGGCGGGCGCCTCGGGGGGCTTGGGGTAGGCCAAGGGCGCCAGGGCGCTGGGTGCCGGGTAGGGCGCCACGCCCACCTGCACGGCGGCGGGGGACAGCTTGGTCCTCTTGCCCTCGGCGTTCTTGAGCACGCTTTTGGCCGGCCCGGCCGGCGCGGCCACCCCCGAGCCGGAGGAGGAAGAGGAGGCGGAGGAGGAGGCGGACGAGGAGACGGCGGCCTTGACGATGGCCAGCAGGCCCTGGTAGCCGGCCGCGTGCGCGGGGTAGGGGCTGTAGCGCTGCCCGCTGGTGTCGTAGCCGTTGACCGTGCGGCCCAGGTGCTTGTGCTGGGGCACCCGGATGTTGCTGGGGAAGATCTTGATGGACAGCGGGCTGTTGGCCACCTTCTCGGCGTAGGCGTCCAGCTCGGCTGGGCTCGGGTAGCGGGAGGAATGCATGGAGCTCACCGCGGCCTCGCCTGCGGGGAGAGGGGGACGGTGAGCCTGGCCCCTCTCACCTCCAGCCCTTCGCGTCGGGGTCACCCCCGGGGCCGCCACAGAGTCTCGGTGTCGGGCATCCTCTGGGCGGCACCAGGGGTCCAGCCCGGGCCTCTCTCAGGCGGAGCAGTGCCCCGGTTGACCTCTCTCCCTGGACCCCTTTATTTATTTATTTGTCTTTTATTTTTGGGTCACTCCTGGCTCTGCACTCAGGAGGAATCACTCCTGGCGGTGCCAGGGGACCCTATGGGATGCCGGGAATCGAACCCGGCTCGGCCGCATGCAAGGCAAACGCCCTCCCCCGCTGTGCTATCGCTCCATCCCCCGGACCCCTTTATTTTTTTTTCTGGTGGTGCTTGGGGGTCGGGGTCCTGCGGTGCCCAGAGTGAAGCTCTGGGCCGCACCCGTGTGGACTCGGTCACTTGACCTGGTTTTCGGTGGACGCTACTGCTATGGCCCCACACCTGGTGGTGCTTGGAGCTTCCTCCTGGCTCTGTGCTCAGGGCTCACTCCTGGCGGGGCTCAGGGGACCCCCTGGGGTGCTGGGGATCGAACCCGGCTCGGCCGCGTGCAAGGCCAGAGCTCTGACCTTCTATCCTGGGGGCCAGGGCAATTGTCCAGCGGGTAAGGCCTTGCTCACGGCTGACCAGGGTGCAATCCCCGGCATCCCATGCAGTTCCCTGAGCCCCGCCAGGAAGGGCTCCCGAGTGCAGAGCAGGAGAGAGCCCTGAGCACTGTGGGGTGTGGGTCCCCCCACTCACCCCCCCGTCCTGTTTCTGACCGACTCTAACTCTTGACCCCACCACTGGCTGTCCTGAGAGTCGGGGGCTGACGTGTCACCGGCTGCATGGGCCCCTCGAAGGAGCGCGCCTGACTATGCCAGAGGGGACGTGGGTCCCCTCCTCCCGCCCCGAGCCCCCCCCATGGCCTGGAGATGTCTCACAGGAGATGTCCCCCACTGGGGGACTTGGGGCTGAAGGGCCCAGGTGGGGTCCTGCTGGTGCAGGGAGCTGGGCCCGGTGCATGCCTGAATGAGCCTCAGTTTGCCCACCTGCGTGCTGGGGGGGGGGTGTCACAACAGGCCGGAGGAACAGGGGAGCCCAGGGGCCCGGCAGGTGCTGGGGGGTGTGGGCGAGGTGGGTGTCACAGGCCTCCGTCCCCGCCCCTGCACCCCTCGGGGTGGCCGAGGGCAGGCAGTGGCCCCTGTGCCGAGCCTCAGTTTCCCCCGCCTGCCAAACGTGGCATCCATGAGCCTGATCCCTGCCGGGTGTGGGCGGCACCGGGGGGAGGGGGCAGAAAGGCGGCTGGGGGCAGTGGGAGAATTAGGGGCTGAGCTGGTGCTGGGGTCAGGCACAGGCGGGGGAGGGCCGCACGGCCGGGAGGGGTCCTGGTGTCCCACAGCCCCCGAGAGACTCACGCCCTCCAGCCCGAGCCAAGCAGGGGCTGCCGAGACCACCCCAGGGAGAGAAAGAGCCATCAGACGCGGTGCTCGGGTGATGCCCGGAGACTCGCGTGGGGGAGGGGGTCTCCTGACCGCCGCGGGGGGGCAAAGTCAGGGACGCTGCTGAGAAGCCGGCCCTGCCCTGTCCAGCCCTGCAGCCAAGTCGCGGGTGCTGGGCCAGGAGCCAGAAACAGGCGCGGAAGGAACCGGCAGTAACCCCTCTGAGGCCCAGGGGTCCGAGCCGGGCAGGGCCCTGGGCAGGGCAGCGCTGGGCATCTGGAGGCCAGGCCTCTCCTCCCTCCCCCCTGACCTGACCCCGGGCCAGGCGGGGAGAATCCCGGCGTCCTGACCCTGCCCGACCCTGCCCGGGGCCGCCCCCTCCTAAGTGGCCTAAAATAAACTCGGTGTGGAGAATGGAAATGTCACTTTGGCCAAGGGGGGAATCTTTCTCCGAGATTGGATTTAAACTACATTATACAAGCAATTTCATGGGCACTTAGCGCCGCTCGGAGAGTCCCGCAAAAAAGGGCCTGGCTCTTCATTTACCAGCCATAAATCAGCAGCTGCTATAATGAGCACAAAAATGTCACTTTTATGCAATTTTACAGATGAACAAAACTGGGGAAATTAACTGGAGTAACCTACGAGAGTCAGCAAAAGCGGCTGCCGGGGGAAAAAATCATATCTGTGTGTATTTCTGTTCCCCCTACACTCTCCTCTCAAGCAACTGCGCCATTGTGGAGGGAGGCTCATTTGTCCTCCCCATTATACTTCCATTTGAGTTTATCTTGAGTATCCAATGAGCCACCAACTGTGAAAATGATTAAATCTACAAAATCTATCTAACGGATGGAATAAATTAGGTGTTGAGAACCTGGGGAGGGCGGCCGGGGGCCCTCGCGCCCGTCCGCCGCGGGATGGGGCCCCGCCGTGGGCTCAGCTGGGCGCTGGCCACGGGGCAGAGCTGGCCACGGGGTGGGGGGGCCAGGGTGGCGGCCACCGCACTGTCCCGGCTGCGCCTGTGACACCGCCCCGTGGGCCCCTGTGTGTGTGGGTGCGGCGGGAGCCCTGGGTCCCCGGCACGGGTCTCCACTGCCTGCCCGCGGATGAGCACCAGGATGGGAAACGGACGAAGCCGGGTCGGATGCAGTTCCGTGTGGTGGCTCAGGGGGATGCAGGGGGAGGCCGCGGCCGGCCACACTCTCCCCCACCCCCGCAGACCCGGCTCGGAGCCGCAGCAGAGGCCACCCAGTCTCCCCAGGAATCGGAGTCCCTGCTTCGGGGATGACACAGCCTCATATCGCAGGAGAGGCTGGCTTGTGTTTTCTGCCCCTGAATGTGGGCCTGGGTTCGAGAGCACCCGGGCTCCCTGGGCAGACCCAGGAGGGAGGCAGAGCTAGGCTGGGGGCTCGCACCTGGCCTGGCAGCCCCCACGGCAGCCTGCCTGGGGAGAGGGTGTCTGCCCCCAGCGTGGCCCTGCCGTGGAACCCAGGCCCGGGCTGCAGGTCCTAGGTGCTGGGGGCTGCGTGATGCCATGCAGTCTGGGTGTCCTGGGTGGTGGGTGCGGCCAGGGGACACAGGGCCCAGGGGTCCGGGATGGAGGATGCCTGGTCTGGATGCGGAGAGTGAGGGAGGCGTCTTCGGATGGAGCTCGGGGGGAGGGGCAGGGGACGAGAGGGGCCCCAGACGGCAGGACAGGCCAGGTGGTGGCCGGGTGATGGGCGGAACTGAGGGGGTGGGCACTCACACTGGCTAAGCCCTGGACGCGGCGGCAGGGGTGGGGTTTGCGAGGATTTGGGCTTCTAGGACGGGGCAGGGCGGGCAGCAGAGTGGACACCTGATGGGCCTCTGATTTTAAGGGGACCCAGGACCTGTCAGGTTGGAGGGGGGCTCGGGAAGTGGGGAGCAGCCCGACTGTCCCCAACTGTCCCTGACTGTCCCCAACTATCCCTGGTGTCCCTGACTGATTGTCCCCAAATGCCCCTGACTGTCCCCAATTGTCCTTGACTGTCCCCAAGTGCCCCGGACTATCCCCGGCTGTCCCCAACTGCCCCCAACTGTCCATAACTGACTCACCCCCACTGCCCCCGGCTGCCCTCGGCTGTCTCTGGCTGTTCCTGGGCAGCTCCCAGCTGTCCCCGGCTGTCCCCTCGTCCCCAGAAGTGTGTAAACTGGCTGAGAGAGCTCGGAGGAGGTGTGGGCAGGAGCCGGGGTGCACAGACGAGCAACCAAGGGGCTCAGGTGGCCCCGTGTCCAGCCCCCCATGCTGTGTTCCTGTGCCAGGCGGGACTGCACCCCAGGTGGGTGCACAGACTCGGGGCACCCTGAGCCCGGCTGAGCCGTCACTGGGCACAGTGGCCTCCACGGCTGGGCAGGGGCATCTCCACGATGACGAATGTCCTGGTGCTGCAGAATCCAGCTTGGACGAGCTCCAGGACAGCCCGATGGTCTGGTCTGCGCCCGTCTGTCCCCTCCTGCCCTGGGCCCAGCAGGAAGTGCCCCAGTTCTGGGGGTCCCCCCGAGTATCTGACCCAGGGCAGCGAGTTGGGGTTTGGGGAGAGGACAAAGGAGGGGGCTGACCCCGCCCCCTGGGTCTCACCCCCCTGCAGCCGGCCTCAAGAACGGGCAGCGGGGCTGGGGGACAGCCCAGGGGGTGGGGGGGCTGTGGGACCCTGCGGAGAGGCAAGGACCCGGGTTCTGCGTGCAGAAACAAAGGCAGCCCTGGCGCCCCACGGCCCCGCCCGTTCCGGCCTCGTCGGGAACCGTTCGGGCTCCTGGACCCACGGGCGGGCGCGCCGCGGCCATTAAGTTAATGTTACGGCCTTTTACAGGTGCGTTAAGTAAAAGTGGTTATTAACGAGTGGATTAAGCCAATTAAAAGCAGCCCCGGGAGTGGGCTGACGTGGCTGCCGGGAGTCGGGAGGGCGACTCCGCACGGACCCGCCGCTCGGAACCGAGGCCCAGGAGGAGCCCACTCTGCGCTGACGCCCCCCGGCCTGCGGGGCCTGAGCGGGTCCCTGGCAGCACCTCAGTGTCCTGGGCCGGGGAGGGGGGGTGGAGGAGGCAGCAGGGGGAGGAAGCCGCCCGCCTCCCCGGTATCTTGGCCCACCCAAGGCAGTTTCTTGGGGTGATGCTTGGGGGGCTGGACACTTGCTGGGCGGGGGACGAGAGGGGTGAGCATGTGTGTGTGTGTGTGTGTATGTGTGTGTGTGTGTTCACAGGCAGGGCCCTGGGGGTCGGACAGATAGTATAGCAGGTGTTTGCCTTGCACACGGCCAACCCGGGTTCAATCTCCGGCATCCCAGAGTCCCACGAGGACTCACCCCTGAGCACAGAGTCAGGAGTACGCCCTCATCACAGCTGGGCGTGACCCAAGGACAAACAGAAAACCAAAGGCAGGTTGCAGGTGTGTGTGTCCATGTCTGTGTGTGGCCCCGATGTGTGGGTGCATGTGTGTGTGTGTGTGTGCGTGCATGTGTGTGTCTGTCTGTGTCTGTGTGTGGCCTGATGTGTGGGTGCATGTGTGTGTGTGCGTGCGTG